TTATAATCTTGATATCTCCCCAGACAAGAATACAGAGCAAGAAAACCAAAGAAAAAGTCCTGGGGAACACTGACAGTTTAGGTACAGCTGGAAGAGGAGGTCTGTGTAAAAGGTACTTAGGAAAAGTCACACAGGTAGAAGGTAAACCAGTTCCTGAACAGGCTAGTGAAATGGGACTGACCAGAGATGTTTCCCTAGTTACACTGTTGATCCCTCAAGAGCAATCACTGTGCCTCCTAATCAAGTGGCTGCATTATTATATTGGTTAAACAAATGAGGAAGGCCAAGCACTCACACCTGTAGTCCCAGCACTTTGGGAGGCTGAGGAGGGATGATAATCTGAAGCTTGGACTTCAAGACCAGCCTGGGCAATGTAGCAAGATCTTATCTCTAAAACATATTTTTCAAAAATTAGCTGGGCCTGGTGGTGGCATGTGCCTATAGTCCCAGCTACTTGGGAAACTGAGGCAGGAGGCTCGCTTGAGCCCAGGAGTTCGAGGCTGCAGCGAGCTAGATGGTGCCACTGCACTCCAGCCTAGACAGCAGGACAAGACCCTGTCTCTCAACAAAGAAGAACAAGAAAACAAAGCAAATGAGGAATAATATGACTAGGAGTTCAAAACCAGCCTGGGCAACACAGCAAAATCTCATTTCTAAAAAATATTTTTCAAAAAATTAGCGAGCCACGGTGGCACATGCTTGTAGTCCTGGCTACCTGGGAGGCTGAGGTGGGAAGATCGCTTGAGACCAGGAGTTCAAGGCTGCAGTGCGCTAGACGTGTGGCAGGCATGCTGAGGTGATGACATGCATCTTGGATGTTAGGTGTCTGCCTTCTATTCTCCTTGGGAACATTTTGTTAGAAGTGTTTGTAAGAGCACCTTGGTATGTTAAGAACCACGGCTAACATAGGTGCTTCCTTTTGCTGTCTATTGCATCTAGTGTTTGAAGTGCCTGCATCAACTTTCATTATTTTTAGATTTCATGTCTGGAGAATGTATGTTTTGGGGGGCATGGGTTACGGAAGTAGGAAGGATAGCAGGCGAAATAGCCTCAACAGTCTACGATTGGCACACAGGCTGTCTTCCTATTAGTTAATGATCATTCTGAGAGGTTACTAAGTGTTGCTAAGCAATAAGAGTTGCCTGAAAGTCTATGCTAAAGAATATGGATTATCGGGGACAAATCAGCTAATTCCACAGAGTCATCTGGTACCTAAACGAAATGGACTTGATGCCTCTGGCATCTCATTTGGGGTATGGTGAGCAATCACCTAATACTGTCAGACTTTGCAGTTCTTGCTGGGCACTTCAGCGTCTGCTTCATGTAAATATTCACTGCACAAGTCCTGTTATTGACCAACTGATATATACCTTTGTGATGAGGTATTCTGGGAAGAACTAGATTAGAAGGAGGTGACAGTTTGATCTTCAGTCACGCAGGCAGAGGGAAAGACCAGACCACAGAGCAGCCTATATCGTTTACAGCTATCTATAATCTGAATTAACATTCATTGAGCATGCATCTGATTTTTACATTCAGATGCAAGCCAAGACTTGGAAAAAGGCATACGCTCAGGTTTTCTCATATAAATTCAAGTCCCACATAGGAGAAAAATGGCCGAACAGCCACTGATTTACACACGTAATAAAAACGGGGTTTATTAAACCTACTTCTTTCCACCTCCATGTTGGTAGGGAGAAGTAGGTAAATTTTCACACATATTTAAAGGCCTGCAGTAATTCAGCCTTGCTTTATAGTCATACAGCTCCCTAACATACACTAGAATAATATTCTAGACCAGACAATTTCTTAGAAATATGTTGTTTCGGAAAAACTGAAATTTTCCAGCTTGCACTAAGATTAGCCAAGCTAAACCCATCTGTCTCCTGCTTAATGTAGTCTATGGAGAAACCTTCATGGGACAAAAATCTGCCTTTATATTTCACAGGCATAAGGTAAGATTTGTGTGCCTCTTGGGTAAACAGACCACAGATATGAAGTCATCATCAAAAGATCAGATTCTGAGTTCCACGCGTTTTCTTTCAGCTTCTCAACCCCGAGCCCACCAGGACCTATGTAAGAAGGAAATTCCATCGTGATCTGCAACCTTTGGGTAGACCAAGAATATTCCAATATCTCTGAAGTCCTTTGTCATTCGAATATGTTGACAAACTCCCATCCCAGGCAGTATGTAGTTCCCCACATAAACCCCCTTAACAGGGGATCTAATCTGACCTCATCATGGGAGTCAGTTGGTTGATTAAGGAGATCAACTGTGAAGATATGCCAGGCAAATGCTGGGTGGGAGTAGACAGGACTCAGTTTCTTCAAACAGGAAAAGAAATGCTGGCCAGGCACAGTGGGTCATGCCTGTAATCCCAGCACTCTGGGAGGCCGAAGTGGGCAGATCACCTGAGGTCAGGAGTTCGAGACCAGCCCGACCAACATGGTGAAACCCCGTCTCTCCTAAAAACACAAAGAGTAGCCGGGCATGGTGGGGGGTGCCTGTAATCTCAACTACTTGGGAGGCTGAGACAGGAGAATCACTTGAACCCGGGAGGCGGAGGTTGCAGTGAGCCGAGATCGTGCCATTGCACTCCAGCTTGGATGACAGAGCAAGATTCCATATCAAAAAAAAAAAAAAAAAAAAAAAAAAAAAAAAGAAATGCTGTTAGATAAAGACACATGGTTTTCAGGTTGGTAGGAGTGTAAGGGGTGAGAGTAGGTGCCTCTCACCCCTTAGAGCTGCTCAGGGGACAGAGGAACACAGCAGAGGGTGACAAGTCATGGCCTCAAAGGAAAGGATCAAATAAATGAGGGCTGGGAAATTTTTTTCAGGCAGGCAGTAAAGAAGAGCAATAACCAAAGTAATGTCCTAAGATGGATAATTCTTAGAACAGGTTTTCTGAAGAAGAGATGTCCATTTTCTTTCAATCTATTGAGGCTATCTAAGCAAGGGAAAAGAGACACTTCAAGTTCCCAAAGCTATGTGATAACCAGGGGACATTTCAAACTGAAATAAGAGAAAGACTTTCAATATCTACAAACTCTGCCTACTGCTAATGAAATCTGAGGCCACACCAAAAGCAATTAGATAATTCTTCCTTGAAAGCCTATAAAAAGAAAAAATGGTTTATGAACACATAACTATAGAATAACAAGAAAAGGATCAAACAGAACCTAGGTGGTATCTCTCTGGCTCTTGTTGCTTTAATCATACATTATCTTAATAAAGACGGATTAATGTTTACATTTGTCTAAATAACTCCAGTTTAACAGAAATTTCAGAGGAAGTGGGTCATTCAATTTCTCCCAATTAACCACATTAAAGGAGATCTTGCAGTTTGGATCCGAAAGGACATGACCCAGGCATCATCAGGAGGAACCGCGTCTCCTAATTTTACACCCTCTATCTAAGACCATAGATGAGAACATATATAAGTTCTCAACCTCAGTTACAGATCAGCCTCACCTGTCGAGTATCTGTAAAAGTACAGATACTCAGCTCCCCTCCCACCTCACCCAGAAGATCTGAAAATGGGGCCTGGGCTCTGTAAAAAAAAAAAAAATTTTTTTGAATGAAAGAGGAAACAGCTTTCTCACACACTTTTAGTGGGAGTGTGAACTAGTTCAATTCTTTTGGAGCCTACACACTTTGATCCAGCAATTCCACATCTAGGAATGAAAACTTTAGATATACCACAGAAGTGTACGAAGACTGGAATCCAAGGATGAAAACAATCTAAATCCCTAGAGGCATTGTTAAGTAAATTATGGCATATCCAGACCATAGGCTCTGTGCAGCCGGCAGATTTATATGAATTAATATGGAAAAATCTCCAAAAAAATCAAATGAAAAAGGCAAGATGCACAACACTATGTATTGTATGCATATACATATATTTCCATATTCCCATACACACAATATACACACACCCACCCACATATATGTATATTAATGCTTATAAACACAAAGGGAACGTCTGGAAGAGTATGCAGAAACTGTGGACAGTGAAATCTGGAAATGGAATATGGGAACTCAAGGTACACTTTGTACAGTCTTATTTGACAACAATCGTATATCACTTTTGTAATAAAATGTTAAATTTCTTTAAAAAAAAATCACTGGTTATTATCATGTGAGGCCAAGATTGAGAACCACTGGTCCAGAGGAAAACAGTCCCTGTGGATGTTAAGGAGCTTGCAAACCCTACCTTGTAAGGAAACCAACCACCCACACCTCAGGAATATTTGCACCATGTCATACCCATGACTCACCAGAAGGTGGTGCTCCAGAGGCAACCACTCAGGCCTCCAACCAAAACCTGTCCAACCAATTTTGCATTAACCTGTCTTTTTGCTACTCTAAGGACTATTTATGCCCCAAAGCATTCTACACTACTGCTTCTATAAAGGGCATTTTAGAAACACAGATGTCATACGCATTTTTCCCCATAAAAATCTACCAGTTAGTCAAAACATTCTAATATAACTCTAGGAAACATTGACCTGAAAGGAGCTGACACTGCTTGCTCCGGCCTCCCCCTCCTCCTCCACACTATTTCCCTGTTGTCTTTTCTCTGATTTACTCATCTTCTTATCTTATTCCAGGGTCAGTTCCACAAAGGCAGGCAGCCATCAGCTATGTGAGGCATTTGTCCTTTTGAATTTGTTCATACCTTTGGCGTAGAACAGGTGGTACGGGACATAGGGCAACCCAGGGCAAGTACCACGAGTTTGCCTCCCCTCCCACTAACACGCATGTTCTGGGAGTGGGTGTGTTGCCACAGCAACTGTCAAATCCCATCCATTACACCGCCTCTAACCTCCCAACGTCTTCTTTAAACACGTTTGAGACGTGTGGTTCCGTTGCCCTGGCAGAGCACAGCCGCAGGTCCCTTGCCAGGTGGCAAAGTTCTCCTTATCTGGGCAGGAGGGATTTAGCTCCGCTGAGTATTAGCCATCATATACATACATTTTAAATTTTCTCTTTTTTTCCCCCTCTCATTATATTTCAAACCCATGTCCCGTAACACTCTGACCTGATCATTTCCTGTGAATTACTGGTGCATATTTAATGAAAATTCATTCTTAATATCAGCCAAGAAAAACTCAACAAATCACTTATATTGTATCTTTTCTTTCCGTGAATATAATTTTTGCTCATTCTTCAAGACACAATTCAAGGATCATCTCCGATCTTCCCTCCTCACTCTATTCAGAGCTGGCCATTCTTGCTTTCCTGATTCTACCTCATATATAATCTGACTCCATCTACCACACTCTATTCACAATTAATTATATCTCTTTGCCATTTATAAGCTTCTCAAGTTTAAAGGATGACATCTTCCTTATCTCTGAATTACCAGCACCTTGCCAGGCCTTCAGTAAATGATTAAAAATAATCATAATGATGAATAAATGCACTCCAAAAAAAAAAATCCATGGGCTTGTGGTTTTCCATAAATTTTTATTATGTTATTAAATCACTGACATAACAGATGACAGCTGTGTATCCGACTTGACAGCAAGACCTAAAAAACATACACACAAATGCTTTTTAAAAGGGAGAATATAGAAGGTCCATTTCCTGAGACTTTAGAGCCATCCTCTTTCTTGTTCTTGTTTTTCAGATTCAGGAAGTGCATGGAAAGGGAGCCTTCTCCATATGGAGAGAAGCAGTGAAGTCCTGAAGAAGGAAGCCGTAACATTCCTTGAGTACTCACAAGGCGGCCTGACATCTGGTCCACACTTGGGGAAAAGAGGCCACATCCCCACATGGAGATCTATTTTTGCATTCTGAGCTGCTGATACTTTGCTCGTACAACTTGCCTTACACACAGAAAGGGGAAGGAAACTAATATTTACCAAGTGCCAGCTACATGCCCTGTGCTGCTTCTCTCCCTTTATAGCATAAATGCGGATCTCTCCCCCTACATTGTGTATCTTCAGAGAGCTCACCAGGTATGTTTCTGAAAAGCACAAGGAAGTGAACACTGAATACTTCCAACTTCCTCCACTCACCCGGCTGATGGCCACATGCACAGCTGATGCCCAACACATCCATATATTCATGTATACTTCTTTATAAGGACTTCTCACCATGGTCGAAGGAGAAAATCTGTTCGTGAAAGACAGATTCTCTTGACCATATGCGTCTCCCTGTTGCACTGGGGCAGATCAGCTTAGTGTGGGCACAAGGAGAATGAAGCTTTGACTTTTATGGACTGTGCTGTGGGTTTAGAACCAGCACCCTCAGGGACACAGCCAGACTCAGTGTTTCCAATCCCCCTCTACTAGGCTGTCCCTAAATCTTCCTGGGCTGCTGTGTTTATCGCTTCATGGTGCTTCTTTTTTAAGATCATATCAGAAGGAACTGTAGCTTAGAAAGTCATCCCTCATGACTTAAAAGTAAAACCTGCATTAAAAACTACCCTCTCTGTGTCCTTTAAAGTTAAATTCCCCAGGAATTCACTGAGGAGACCTTAGGGCCTCCCCAGAGGTGCATACGTTGCTCCTTTCCTCCTCACTCCCTCCACGTCTAGGTCCCTGGTACATATCTGCCACCGCATTGTGCCATCCACACAGGTGTTCTGATGGTTTTAGACATTCTACTACCTTGCACAAGGCAAAGTCTTCTACTGAGAAGTAGACCATTGAGTTGGGGCTCCATGAATGGGCTCTGGTGCCAGACTGCAGCTTCATGTTCCAGCCCTGCCACCTATTAATTGCCCCTAGCACCATTTTGCTCACTTTCTCTGGGCCTCGGTTTTCTCATCTGTAAAATGACAATAATAATAGTATACCTACCGAGTACTAACAGTCGTTCCCAGAGATTGAGTTTTAATGATATAACACATATAAACCACTCAGCCCAGTGCCCAGACTATAAGCAGCACTAAAGAAGGGTTAGCTATTATTACACCATTCTTTTTCTACCCATTCATTTGATAGGAGCTCTGTAGTCAGAGAAAACTTGGTGCATAGTTGACTGCCCAGTTCTTAGGATTTCACCAGCCAGGAGATAAAGGGGGAAGCTCTGCCTTCTCTCCTCAGAGCACAATGGCGATTGGCCGCTGCCCTGTCCAGCTGCCACATGTAATGACCATTCCACCGGCATCCCCTATAACTCCTCAAGCACACACAGCACCTCAAATCTTAATACATAATAAATGTACATATTAATATAGTACATGTGATCTTTTGATACATGCGTATAATGTGTAATGATCAAATCAGGGTAACTGGGATCATTGATCATTTCTTTGTGATGGGACCATTTCAAATCTTCCATTATTTTGAAATATACAATAAATCCTTGTTAACCATAGTCACCCTACTATTAGTAGGGTGCGTATCTGTGTGTACAAATAAGTTCGAGATACAAATCTGTGTTTTAGTACCTCTTAACTAACCTCTCTAAATCCCACCTCCCAGCCCCCGCTAACCTTCCCAGCCTCTCTACCTCCACGAGATCAACCTTTTTAGCTCTACATATGAATAAGAACATACAATACTTGTCTTCCTGTGAATGGCTTATTTCACTTAACATAAATGACCTCCAATTTCATCTATGTTGCTGCAAGTGACAGAATTTCATTCTTTTTTTTATGGTGGAATAGTATTCCATTGTGTATGTATGCCATATTTTCTTTGTCCATTCACCCACTGATGGACACTTAAGGTTGATTCCATTCCTCGGCTACCATGAATAGTGCGGCAATAAACATGGGAATGCCGGTATCTCTTTGATATACTGATTTCCATTCCTTTGGATATAAAGGCGTACCTCAGAGATATTGCAGGACCAGTTCTAGACCACTGCAATAAAGCTAAGAATCCAATAAAGCAAGTCACATGAATTTTTTTGGTTTCCCAGTGGATGTAAAAGTTATGTTTATGCTATATTGTAATCTATCCAGTGTGCAATACCATTGTGACTAAAAACAATGTACATGCCTTAAGAACACTTCATTGCTAAACAATGGTAATGATCCCCTGAGCCTTTAGTGAGTCATTTTTACTGGTGATGGGCCTTGCCTTAATGTTGATGGCTACTAATTGATCAGGGTAGTGTTTGCTGAAGGTTGGGGTGGTTGTGGCAGTTTCTTAAAATAAGACAATAATGAAGTTTGCCCCATCAATTGACTCTTCCCTTCAGGAAACATTTTTCTGTAGCACACGGTGCTATTTGATAGCATTTTACTCACAGTAGAACTGATTTCAAAATTGGAGTCAATCCTCTCAAACCCTGCCACTGCTATACCAACTAAGTTTATGTAATATTCTAAATTCTTTACTGGCATTTCAACAATGTTCACAGCATCATCACTAGGACTAGATTCCATCTCAGGAAAGCACTTCCTTTGTTCATCTGCAAGAAACAATCCCTTATCCATTCAAGTTTTATCATGAGATTGCAGCAATTCAGTCGCATCTTCAAGTTCTGCTTCTAATTCTAGGTCTCTCGCTATTTCCGCCACATCTAAAGTTATTTCCTCCACTGAAATCTTGAAGTCCTCCAAGTCATCTACCATAAGGGTTGCAATCAACTTCTACTAACTTCAATTAATGTTGGAGTTAGTTAATGTCCCTTCCCATGAACCATGAATGTTTTTAATGGCATCTAGAGTGGCGAATCCTTTCAGAAGGCTTTTGATTTACTTTGCCTAGATCTATCAAAGGAATCACTATCAATGGCAGCTATAGTCTTATAAAGTAAATTTCTTAAGTAATGAGATTTGACAGTCAAAATTATTCCTTGATCCATAGGCTGAAGAATAAATGTGTTAGCCGGCATGAAAATAACATTAATCTTCTTGTACATCTCCATCAGAGTTTTTGGATAACCAGGTAAACTGCCAATGAGCAGTAATATTTTGAAAGAGCTTTTTTTTTTTTTTTTTTTCTGAGCAGTAAGTCTTAACAGTGGGCTCAAAATATTCAGTAAACCATGCTGTAAACAGATGTGCTCTGATCCAGGCTTTGCTATTCCATTTATAGAGCACAGGAAGAGTAGATTTAGTATAATTCTCAAAGACCCTAGGACTTTTGGAATGGTGAATGAGCACTGGCTTCAATTTAAAGTCACCCACTACATTGCCCACTAACAAAAGTCAGCCTGTCCTTTGATGCCAGGTGTGGATTTCTCTCTAGCTATGTTTTACATGGTGTCTTCTTTCAATACAAGGCTGTTGAGTCTATACTGAAACTCTGTTGTTTAGTACAGTCACCTTCATCAATGAGCTGAGCTAGATCTTTTGGATAATTTGCTGCAGTGTCTACACCATCTCTTGCTGCTTTGCCTTGTACTTTTTTGTTATGGAGATGGCTTCTTTCCTTAAACCTCATGAACCAACCTCTGCTAGCTTCAAAATTTTCTTCTACAGCTTCCTTACCTCTCTCAGCCTTCACAGAATTGAAGAGAGTTAGGCCCTTGCTCTAGATTAGGCTTTGGCTTAAGGGAATGTTGTGGATGGTTTAATCTTCTATCCAGGACACTCACACTTTCTTTATAACAGCAATACGGCTGTTTCACTACTTTCTAATCATTTGTGTGTTCACTGGTGTAGTGCTTTGAATTTCCTTCAAGAACTTTTCCTTTGCATTCACAACATAGCTAACTGTTTGGCTCAAGAAGCCTAGCTTTTGGCCTGTCTTGGCTTCTGACCTACCTTCCAAATTAAGCTTACTCATTTCTAGCTTTTGACTTAAAGTCAGAGACCTGCGACTCTTCTGTTCACTTGAGTGCTTAGAGGCCATTGTAGGGTTATTAACTGGCCTACTTTCATCCTTAGTGTTGTGTCTCAGGGAGCAGGAATCCCAAGGAGAGGGAGAGAAATGGGAGAACGGCCAGTTGGTGAAGCAGCCAGAAGAATATACGTAACATGTATTAAGTTCACCATCTTATATGGGTGTGGCTCATGGTGCCCCCAAACAATAACAATAGTAACATCAAAGATCACTAACCACAGATCACCATAACAAATATAATAATAATGGAAAACTTGAAATATTGCTAGAACCACCACAATATGACAGAGACATCAAGTGAACACATGCTGTTGGAAAAATGGTGCCAACAGGCTTGTGCAATGCAAGGTTACCACAAACCTTCCATTTTTAATAAACACACTATCGGCAAAGTGCAATACAGTGAAGTCCAATAAAATGAAGTACGGCTGTATACCCAGCAGTGGCACTGCTGGGTCATATGGTAGATCTATTTCTAGTTTTCTGAGGAACCTCCACACTGTTTTCCATAGAGTACAGCACTTTAATTCTTGAGGCTGCACCAAGGCCTTCTGTTAATGTTGGTTGTGCTTATTTGTCTGGTTTTCTTTTTCAGCACTGAGGAAGAAAGATCATTTTGAGGCAGTTTCTCCTTGGGTTGTCAAGAGAGGCTCCTTTCACATTCCAAAGCAAAATATCTTGGAATTCTGTACCAGTGAGCCTACTGCTCTCCAACAAAGAATATCCAAAGGGAATGCAGAATTCTAATGAATGAGGCTGGCCTTTTTTTTTTTCTAACTAGGCTCAAAACAGGCTTATTTATTAATACAATGAATGCAAAGTGCTAGGAAGGATTAAGAACTGAGAAAACAGACTTAGAATTAACTCAATCAGGCCTTATGAACTAAATGCATTTCTTTTTATAAAAAGTTCCCTGAGACCCCCAAGTGAATCTGCAATGTCTAGAATCACATATGAATATATAGGTAAATTTATATATGAATATATGGCAACTATACTGAATTGTTAATTCTGGGTGATAAGAATAAGGATGTTTGCCACATTTAAAAAAAATTGTTCTATATTTTAAGTCATTCTCAAAGTAATTTTTCAAATGCCTCGTCATATGAATAACTTTATGCACTATTTTATGCAGAGAACTTTGCTATCTCATCTTGGCAAAATGGGTGTTATTTTCCCCAGCATATTAGTAAACTGAGGCACACTAAACTGAACAGAAGCAAATGTGAGGAGGCTCAAGCAACTCTGGATATTGCCAGAGGCTCACACTGTATTTCCTGCTATAGGCACACAGGGTCTGGGGTACATAGAATGAATTCTGTGCAGGGATACTGAGGGCACTGCAAGTCCAGGGATCACTCTGTTCTAACTCTTGAGTCAGTGAACCAGAAGGGCAGCTTCCTGCCAGCTGCACATACCTCTGTGGTGGGGTCAACTACTCATGGCCTGGTGCTTGGAAGCCTTTAGCAAGGCCAAGTCTGTTTTAGCGCCACTTATCACTGGCTGGCATAGGGAGACATGCCATTCTGTAAACCAATCAAATCCTGTGCTCAAAGAAGCTATACCCTGACATACCACATGGAGAGGAGGGGCATTCTCCTGCATCTATTAACCAAAGAAACATAAGTTGATGTTTTTTCAAAAAATTTATATCCATCTGCATCCTCCCTTCCCCACACCCAACATGGAGCTTCTCTACTTACCCAGTTAAAAATCCCAATTAAGAACCTGTGGGATGAGTTTTAAGAACTCTTACAGGTGATCTGGGAACATGCAGGCTGGAGCTGCTGACTTCCAATCATGTCTCTGTGATTAAAGGGTGGAAAATTGGGGGGTCAATATCCACTTGTATTTGTAAGCATCTAAATCCTCTTCTCTGAAAACACTCTTCATTCTTGAATCTTTTTTTTTTTTTTAATTTAACTTTATTTATTTATTTATTTATTTGAGACAGGGTGTGGCTCTGCTGCCCAGGCTGGAGTGCAGTGGTGCAATCTCAGCTCACTGCAACCTCTGCCTCCTGGGCTCAAGCAATCCTCCCACCTCAGCCTCCCTAGTAGTTGGGACTACAGGTGAGCACACCACACCTGGCTAATTTTTTTCTACTTTTGGTAGAGATGGGGTTTCATTACATTGCCCAGGCTGGTCTCAAACTCCTGAGCTCAAGCGATCCACCTGCCTTGGCCTCCCAAAGTGTTGGGATTACAGGTGTGAGCCATGGCATCTGGCCTTGAATGTTTACCAATCAGAAAACAGTGAAACTGGCCAGGTGCGGTATGTTTACCGATCAGAAAACAGTGAAACTGGATGGGTGCGGTTTGTTTACCTATCAGAAAACAGTAAAACTGGCAGGGCACAGCGGCTCACACCTGCAATCCCAGCACTTTGGGAGGCCAAGGTGGGCAGATCACTTGAGGTCAGGAGTTCGAGACCGGCCTAGCCACCATGGTAAAACCCCCTCTCTTCTAAAAATACAAAAATTAGATGGGCACTGTGGTGCATGTCTGTAATCCCAACTACTCGGGAGGCTGAGGCAGGAGCCCAGCCTTGAGCCCAGGAGGCAGAGGTTGCCGTGAGCTGAGATTGCGTCACTGCACTCCAGCCTGGGTGACAGAGTAAGATTCCATCTCAAAAAAATAAAATAAAATAAAATAAAATAAAATAGTGAAATCTTCATGAGAAAAACAGCTCACTGAAGTATTATGAGGAGCCTATCAGCAGGGATGTATCTGCACTTCGCCTCCTCCAAGACCATCCTGAGTCATGTCTGGCCCAAAGGCGTGCATCATACTATCATGACCCTTTGCAAAGACCCACCATGTCGAACAAAATTCTGCCAACATATGCACTCATTTCAAACCACTTCCAATGAAATTAGTGTATCTGTTACTTCATTCATTCAACAAATGCTTCCTGTATATCACCTCTGGGACAAAGCAGCTGCCTAGGTGCTGGAGATAAAAGCCAGTCCCCACCTCTGGGAAACTTGCAAGTCAACTACAGGGAGTCCACAGGGACCTACCAAGGTATCTAGAGTGCTTTGGGAGTTGGGAAGATGGACTTCAAAAAACCTTCACCTGTTTTATGCAAAATGAGAAAATCTTGCAGGATTAAAGTATTTACACTGGTATGAGGATAGGCCAAACACAGGTCCAACAACTTAAATTACTGATTCTCAAAGTAGTCCAGACACAATCCTTTCTGAATAATAACTGTCCTGCTGTTAGAATACACCACGGAAATGCACGGTGCATTGTTTCAATTAATTATAAAATGAAATTACATTCCCTGAACACTTCCCAAGTACGGGCAGAGGGTAGATGCCTTATGGTGTGTTGTTTTGCTGGGTGGCAAATGGCAACTGGCCAGGGCTTACACATTGACTATGGCTAGTACACCAGAGAGATTATCTACACATGAGTAATGCAGAACTGACTCTTGATACTGGCTGTAGATGACTCTCAGTCATCAACTATGAGAGCTTTCATCGATCAAAAAAAGAAAACGTGGCTTTTAAAAAATACCGGTCTTATTTATAAGGGGAAGGGGGAGATAGCTCCAAATAAATGTCTCAACTTCAACTCTTTCTCAACACTTTCAGAAGACCTCTTTCAATGTACAAGGTGACTTCACCTTTTCAATAACCTTATCTAACCTCCCCTGGAATGACTAATGTGATTGCAACAGTATTACTCTTTGAGGCAGCATGCTTCTCCCCTGCCTCCCCTCTGATTGAGCTAATGCATCTACCAGCCATGTGAGAACTTGGCATTATGTTTAAAGTTAATTACCGGCAGGTTTTTGAGACAGGTGGAATGGGTTTCTGTCACCTCCCTTCTGCAGAGTAAGTAAAGACTGCACCCGCGGACTGGCAGGAGGCTGTATCCCAGTGCCTGAGATTTGGGGCATCCTCTGTGACAAAGGAGGCCTTCCAACATGGTAGGAAGCAGCAGCCTGGCACGTGCATCTAGCTGGACAAGTTTCTCTAAGTCTTGATTGGTTGTTGCTTGGCTGGATGATACTGATGGCAAAAGTAACATTCCAAAGCAGTAAATATAAGACTCTGAATAAGGCTTGGCGCTTGGGAAATCCTTACGGAATTTATGGCTTGGTGTGATGGGGAAAAAAAGAGTTTATTTTGAAGCATTTGTTATGAGAGGGGTCTATTCCATTGAGAAGAGAAACGTCAGTTATTATTCCAATAAATCTTTGTTTTCTAACCATTCAGATCTTTCCTAAGGAAGGTTTAAAATTCTAAAACCAACTTTATTTTCAAACGCAGTCAAGCTTCAGGTGGCCACCTATAAGAACAAACAATAGAAGAGCTTAGGGAAGTGAGATTACCCCAAGAAATGAACTATACCACCTCTTTCTCCCTAATTCCTCTTTTTGAAATTAGATACTTGTTTTACTGAAGGCAAAACAGCCAGCTTGGCCCCTGAGAAAAGTGAGATGAGAATGGGAGTAGGGGTGGAAAAAGGAGGGTACTATCGAGAGGTAAAGTACAAGGTTGGGTAAAAGAAATAAAAATAGACAAGTCAGGGAAAACCAAATGGCAAAGGTCCATTTGTTTGTTTTAACAGTGTTTGCCATTCCAGGCGGCTTGCTGAAGTTCCTTCCTTCCATGGCTGGCCTTGGACCAACATTAGAAAAGTCTTAGATCTTTGGAAAGAAGGTTTGGACAACAAAGTTGTTTTATCTGGGAGGGTAACTAGCTTACTCAAGAGTTCCAGGACTTTGGTTTTGATGTTATTACCTTGGCCTCAGTTTCTGTGTCCCAGGCGGTCCTGGCTCTGTTTACTGATTTTGCAAGAGAAAACGGTGGCCCGAGGAAGGAAGGGGCTTCTCACAGGCACCACTGCCACATTTAGCTGGATCACCTTAGTACCTGGGCACCGCGAAGAAGATGAAGGCGGGGGAAAAGTAAAACATTTTCTAAAGGTCCTATCTCTCGACACTCATAAGAGGGAAACAACACTTCTCTAACTTACTCCCCAAATAGACACCGCCGTGGATGTTCTGCCAAGGAGTGATGTGAAAGTGTGTTCCGAAGTGAAATGTAAGCTTGGCCCGGTGCCCAGCTCTCTGCTGTATTTTGCACAGAGTGCTGCAGGCTGAAGGACCAAAGGAACACATTTCTCTCCACGTGACTGCAAGAGCCAGGCAGCCCAAGCAGATTTCTTTGTGTTAATAAAATGTGATCTCTAGACTGTACACACCAACAGCCCTGGAAAACGTGAGCCAGAGAGAAGGACCCAAGGAAACCCATGGCCCTGGCTGAAAAGGGACTGCAGCTGCCAGCACACTGTGTTGTATCGAGGCAGGGGCATTGCAGGCCTGGCAAATGCAAGTGAGAACACAGCCAGAGATGGAAAGACATGTCAAAGGCTCAGGGGAATGCTGCTTAAGAAATGAAAACAATCCATGGAATCCCATCAAATATGATCCCACGCAAATGTTTACTCTTTCTTGGTGGGCCACAGACCAAAGTCCTCAATGGACACTCTCAAGACTTTGGATATACCTGGGATCCAAGGTACCATGTCTCAAAACTGAGATCATTCCAAATATGGCAGGAGCTTGACTCCTAGGTTAAACTGTGTATATTCTGGTCTGGTGTAAGGTGTGACAAATACACATATTTCCATACTCTCACCCCACAGGGACCCAGGCAAATGCGGTCAACTCTCTATGAACCAGGGCAGCCATGGGAGGCAATCACAAGGATCCCAAACAATCACCATGGGGTGGCCTGGACTCTGGGGAGCTGTGCTGTTGTGGGCAGCCCCTGACTCCTTGCTTCAGTGGTCTTGGTCTCCACTGGCCAAGAGACCACTGCTCAAGGTCTCAATCTCTTCTATATTTATCTATATCTTGGGAAGGGAGGAGGTTCCTAGGCTGAGGAAGAAAGGGGATTAGTGGCCCCTGCTCACTGGGTCCCTTGCAACGTATTACTTAATCTCTGGACTTTCAAATTCACTGTGCCCTGTGGTCAACTTGTTCCCAATTTGAACAGGGTGTTGGGGGCAGGAGCTGAAAGGTAGCAGGAGCAGAGCACCAGGACCCAGAGAACTTCTGAACCTCTCAGGTACTGCACTGGAGAACACAGAAGTTTATAGGGCTAGAGGGCACCTCTGGTTGGAGAGAGTAGAAGGTCCTGGAAGAAGTCATCCCGTGGTCCCCCTCCCCTGCAGTCCCCCAGTGCCCAGGTTTCCCAACCCTGGGGCAGGCAATTAGCCATCACCAGCTAATTATGGAGCAGCTGAGTTGATGAGTGACTCCCAGGCCCAGGTGAGCCTTCACCTTGGTTAATCTGCAAACCAGTTAATCAGCCTCAGGATAATTGAAAGTTAATCGTATGCAGAGCTCAAGTGCAGTTACTGGAAACAACAGGAAACAGCAGTAGCAGAGGAAGTCAGGCCCACTCTCAGTGAACGCTTTTGCAAATCCCTATAGCCAATGTTTAACCTGCAGCCCACTTCACCCTATTGCCCAACACACTCTTGGATCAAGTCCTTGTCACACAACCTCCCAAAGTGCTGGGATTACAGGCGTGAGCCACCGCGCCTGGCTGCGACTCAGAGATATTTGATGGGATACAAATATGCTGAGGGAGCTTTAGCTGAAATTGAACATCCCTCTCAAGAGGCTAAAATCTTGCCTAGTTTCATGCCGATGTACTTTGTAATCCCTCAAGACTGCTGTACCTGGATCCCAGGGAGCACACAGTAAGTGCTCAACAAACTGCAGCTAGTTGATTATTTCCCTGGTGCAGTTCATGGATTTAAAGTTAGGAGGCTGGGAGGGCTCAGAGACATTTGGCTGGCTATGTTAGAAACATACTGGGGGAGCTGCAAAAAGCACTACACTCCCCCTCAACCGTTCTTTATAGAAAGAAAAATCTGAAGAGTTCAAACCTTACCAGGAAAGCAGATCAACAGCACAAAAACATAAAGCACGTTCCACAGCTGAGGAGAAATGAACTTCAGTTTATCTGTTCCATCAGCATGGATAACTGAGAATCACCTTCAATCCTAAACAGACTGGCAAGTTCTCTAAAGCTTCCTTAAAGAAAAGTGGCCGCACTTTGATTTCAAATATCAAGAATCGCAAGTATGGAGTGTACGGTTGACTGCCTACCAAGGATGCAGTTTCCCTGGAATTTGCAGCCATGACCTCTGGCCACAGGCAGTTTACCAGGGCCTGCGGTTTGTGGCTGCCTCTGCTGGATCAGTGGCACCTACGCCTGTGCTTTATTGGAGTATCCACGGAATTACATGTTGGAATTCCAGCTTCCCTCCACCTTGCAATTCCTGTCTCGTGACCAAGGAGCTGAATCAATAGACTTCCTTTCTTCCATTCTCTCTGTTAAGCTAATCAGAATAAGCCTCCTTCAGAGAGTAAAACATTATGTGCTGGAGGCTCAGAAAACACTTTTCCAGGACATCGGAAGCAACACTGGCCTGAGTCCTTGATCTGCTGCCCAGTAGAAGGACAAGTACTAAAGGATCTTCCCAACCTGCTCTGGCAGGACAGCAAATACCAGGCACCAGTACCGCCCCACCCAAGCCAAAGGCAGACATCACTAGTTAATCACAGAACTCTTCACTGAGCCCAGACCAAGCCTCAGAATCTTTCAGAATGACTTTCCAGGTACCTACTAATCCATCAGAGTCAGCTGTAAGATGAAACCTACTATCACAGGCAGGTCCTACAAACCTGACTCCAGCCACCCAGAAAAGCCAAAGGCCCCCTCTGGCCACTGCCCTTCTAGAAAAGTTGCCATCAAAAGAGCTAGCAGTGGGCCCTGGGGTTTTTTCTTCTGCGGGCTTTCCTTTTTTTTTTTTCTTTATAAAAAAATTATTTTGTCTGGCTAATAAACTACTGCTAAGAATCCAACTGTTGGAGCAACGATTCCAGCCAGATAATTTATTTTCAGGGTTGCTCTGGAATGCTGAACACCAGAGAGAATCTGGTGGTTCCCATTCAGCATGAAGACCATTTTTCAAGGAAGTAACTAGCTTGACTGTTGTTGTTGTTTTCTCCAAAAGGTGTCAAATGTCTTCTGCTTTTCAGCTTCAGTTTTTAAACTCTGTCATCCTTTATGAGTGGCAGAATGTCAGATTCTTTTTTTTTTTTTTTTTTTTTTGAGACGGAGTCTTGCTCTGTAGCCCGGGCTGGACTGCAGTGGCCGGATCTCAGCTCACTGCAAGCTCCGCCTCCCGGGTTTACGCCATTCTCCTGCCTCAGCCTCCGGAGTAGCTGGGACTACAGGCGCCCGCCACCTCGCCCGGCTAGTTTTTTTTTTGTATTTTTAGTAGAGACGGGGTTTCACCGTGTTAGCCAGGATGGTCTCGATCTCCTGACCTCGTGATCCGCCCGTCTCGGCCTCCCAAAGTGCTGGGATTACAGGCTTGAGCCACCGCGCCCGGCCGAATGTCAGATTCTTAATCCATCTACTACTTGGCTTGGGAGCAGCTCCACTACCCCCAAGGGGCTTTAAATTTTTTTAGACATTCACCAAAATGTGAATGTTAGTCGTCTTCCAGCACATAGTAGTCTTTGAACATGGAGTCACAAAGCTAGAAACAGTGCCTACATTTTATAGACAAGAAAAATTAGGTTTTGAGAGATTTGGTGACCTGTCCAGAGACACCTAATGCTGACAGATTGGCTTTAGAACCTAGATTGGCTGACTACAAGTTCAGTGCTTTTTGGAACTGGCCTACCTTTGAAACTGTTGCTATGTGTTTTCCATCTCTTGCCACCTAAAACCCAACGGAAATAATAATGGACGTTGATGTAAACTGTTCGGTCAGTTTTCTATTATGACATACTTGTAAGTTAGAAGGACACAGATTATTCCCGTTTTACAGATGAAGAAGTAAAAGCCAGAGAAGCTGAACACCTAAGGTTATACTCACAATTAAGAGCATAGCCAAGACTACAGATTAAATCTCCTGTGTTCCCAAAGCAGCATCACGGAGCTTACAAAGACCCAGTCCAGCAACTCAAAATCCTGGAAGCAAGACTCCAAAGACATTAGCTACAAGTGCATTTTAGAACGTGCTCTTTAAATACCACATTTGGACTCTGAATTAAAACTCGCTGGGTGACAATCCGAGTAGGCACAGTCCCACATCCTTTTACTGATAGCTTGTTTAATGTAATTTAACGTGCATGACGATCCTGCAAAATAGGCCACCATGTTCCGGATGAGGAAATGGGGGCTCAGAATTCAAGTGACTTGCTCAAAGTTTCCTGGCTTTTCAGTAGACCCCTGATTCCAAATTGAATTTAGCTTGGTGACTAAAGGGCTCCACAGTCACGTGCTGATGCTATTAGGACTGTGTTTCTCTGAATATCTTTATCAACGCTTGTTATTTCTGCCTTGAAAATGATTTCATCCTGATCTCCATGGTTTTTGGCCACCGAGATATGCCCAAATTTATTTTTAAGCTGCCTGTAGTCAGAATGGAAGGGCTGATGGAGAAAAAAAGAAAACATACTTTGGCAATGTATTCACAACATTCAGTCCTCTTGGGAACAGACTAAATTCCAGGGACCAATATCATTTCTAATATGAGTTGATTTCCTACAACCACTACAGTAAGTATTTAGGACAATCCTGGTTTTAACACATAATGGCTATTGCTATGATTTCATACTGAATTGACCTGATTTAAACTTAGGAGCATTGTGTCCACTCTTTGATAAAAGCAGGGAGGGACTCAGAGATATTTTTTGTTTTGTTTTGTTTTGTTTTGTTTGAGATGGAGTTTTGCTCCTGTTGCCCAGGCTGGAGTGCAATGGCACGATCTTGGCTCACTGCAACCTCCACCTCCGGGGTTCAAGTGATTCTCCTGCCTCAGCCTCCTGAGTAGCTGGGATTACAGGCACCCGCCACCACGCCTGGCTAATTTTGTATTTTCCGTAGAGACGGGGTTTCACCATGTTGGTCAGGCTGGTCTCAAGCTCCTGACCTCAAGTGATCCACCCTCCTCAACCTCCCAAAGTGCTGGGATTACAGGCGTGAGCCACCGCGCCTGGCCGCGACTCAGAGATATTTGATGGGATACAAAAATATGCTGAGGGAGCTTTAGCTGAAATTGAACATCCCTCTCAAGAGGCTAAAATCTTGCCTAGTTTCATGCTGATGTACTTTGTAAGCTCTCGAGACTGCTGTACCTTTAAAAGCCTTATCCTGCCACACCCATATGTATAGTGTACAACGTACTGTGTCCGTCGAGCAAGACGCATGTCAAAGGCCAAGAACCCCACAGCTGTAATCTAGTTGGAAACCAGTCATACCAGGTTAAACTCAATTCTTAAATCAATCAACTTCTAGTTGTCCCCTTTGTGTAAAAACTGTTTTTAGACATTTCTTCCAAATAATCTACTTTTGTTTTTATAATTGCCTTATATTTCCATTCCACTTCAGAAAAGCCCATTCTTTCCTACCTGGACCCCTCCCTGCCATGTTTCCCTCTGGTACAGAGAAAGGAGAGTTAAGAAGCATGTATTTGAGAGACTCACACTAAGGAAAGCAGAAGGTCAGGGAGTTCTGTGACCATTGAAAACCCATTTTCCTGCCTCCATGTCACTCAAGAGCCCATCAACAACAACTAGAGGACAGCCGGTTCACTACTTTATGGCCCAGAAGTGTCACCCAAGGGTAAAAAGAAGAAACAGAAAACACAGATCTGGCAGCATGTTGGAAAGGCTCTAGAGTACCAAAGGAAATGTATTCTAAATTCCCTTTCACCCTTACCCACTCAAGATCTTCCAGGCATAGCACCAGGAGACATATGCAGGCACAGCAGGGCATATGGAGATGGAAGACGCAGACTAGTTGGAAACCAAAGTTTCTGCAGAGCATACATCTATTACAAGAGCTATCCAAGAAAGCAGGCAGTTACACTGTGACATGCTAGGGTGACAGGACCACAAATGGTGTTTGAGGTGGGATGTATCTTCTCACAGGTGTAAATACACAGGGTGCTCACCTGCTTTATTATCTCTTCATGATCCTTTCTTCCCTGCAATAACTCAAAAGCAGTTTCCAGGCCATCACTGCTATAGCATTGCTGTAACACAAGATGTGTTCCCACTTAAGTGTCCATAAAATAGCCATGGAGGTGGATGAAGAGAAGGAATAGTAATTGTAGAATAAAAATAAAACTGCTGAAAGCTGCCATTTATATACTGAGCACTGTTCTAAGTGCTGTACATGTATCATCTCATTTACTTCTCCAGGAATCCTCTGAAGCAGGTATTAGCACCCTCACTTACAATGGAGGGAACAAATGCAGAAGAGTTATATGGCTGGTAGATCCCACACCATCTTTGGGGGTTGGCCGATGACATCCTCTCTGATGGCAGGTAAATGAATGAAAATAATATTTCGGTTCCATATACTTACATGAAAATTTAACTTTAAAGATATGAAAATTTAGTGGTGGGGGGAATGGAGAAGGGGACAGATGGAGATAACTGGCAACAATTTGGTGGGAATGCTAATCTCAATTACTGAAATGTCTGAATGACAAAAATTATTTTGCTATTCACTAATATGCACTTGTGGTTCAGAATATTAATTTATGTATACACAGTTAAAATCTTTAAAAACTATTTTGTACTCAAGTTAACTCTGTGTCCCAAAATTATGTTTGCATAATTAATCTGTTTGGTAATATTTTTGCTTTTTAAATTAAAAAAATATACAATGTAGAGATAGGGTCTCACCAGGTTGGTCTTGAACTCTTGGCCTCAAGTGATCCCACCTTGGCCACCCAAAGCACTGGGATTACAGGCATGAGCCACTGTGACCAGCTAGTAACATCTTTCTTTATAAAGAAGACAAAGATATAAATTTTAATTTAACCAATTCAAGATAACATGATCATAAAATCTGAATCAATGCAGTGTTACTGCCACGCAAGTGAGAGGGTCAAAGAAGAAATAAAATAACCAGACCTAAATTGCTTCTTTATACCTAGTTTGTGTAATACTGAATCTTCCTGTCATTAGTTGTCTAGGAAGTCAATAACTAAATATCATTATCTGGCCTACAATGTTTAGATAAATTTCACTTGTAATGTTAAAAATAACTTCTTTGACATGAATATAAATATTATTTTAAAATTATTTAGTTGTCACTGTCCATTTGAAACAAACATGCTTTAGATTCTATGAGGAAAAGAGATACTCACTTCCCCAGGAAGGTGTATTAATACAAAGAAATCAATCATAATGAAATGAATTTTATGCAATTCTTACGAGGCCAGTTCTGCAAATTTCTCTCTTCTTGTCTTCAGAGACTCTTTCAAGGCTTTATTTCCATCTTTACAGTTTATATTACCTACTATTTCCTCTATAAATCTTTCAATGGCCTTTTAAAAGCAATACTATTTTGATTGGATCTGAGATCTCTGTCCTGTTTCTATAGTTCTCTAGTAAAAGCCTGCATGGTCTCCTTCAGTGATACTAATTCAGCCCACATCATAATGACTCCATCCAAAGGTGAATTAAGTCTTCTGTTCAATCTTCAGAGCAGGTTGAGTTTAACTGTTTGCCACTATCCTTAAAATAACCCTTCATATCTTGGGGTATTGAGATTTCTGTTCTGGGTAATCTGATTACTGTGTATCTAGATGATCTTGTTCATCTGGTTTGCCGCATTGACTCCCACTGGTCAGGGCCTGGTGGCATCCGTCCCCCAAACAAACCTTTGCTTTTCCCATTCAATTCAATTCAAGTGGCATTTCTCGTGTGTGAACGGACAGGCGTGCTTAACTCTTTCCATTAAGTGCAGAAGCACTTAGAGAGCAGTGATGAGACTTTCCTGCTCCACTGTCCATGCCTGGGTTCCACAGCAAAGACATCACAGCAGACTGTTACCCAGAGCTAATTAGAAAAGAAAGCATTGCTCTTCCCCACTCAAGGAATTTCTGCCAAAGCATTTATTTCTGCTGATCCATTTATGCAATTCCACTTTCTAAGAGAACATTTTGTCACAGATGATTTAGTGTTGTAGCTCCCTGAAGCATCTTTTTGTAGCATGCACTCATTGTTTTTAGGAATATAGGGTCTCCCAGGCAAAATTTGAGAGGCAACAGGGTTTAACAGCCACAAGCCACGTCTTATGATAAGACCTCAAATTCCAAAGCATTCTTCCA